AAGATCACCAAGTCCAACTTTGACCTAAAGCCCACTAAACCAGGATGGGGAGCTGCTTGTGAGCACCCAGCTTAACCAGTCTCTGGGTCAGCTGGGACCTTCGTGGTCTCCTTTTTGCCTCTCCCCATTCCCACGGGCTTGGACTGGGGATGATCCACTCTGAGGCAGCTGCCAAGTGTGACACCCAAAACTTCTGTAAATCTGTGAGGGCTCACAGGGCCAGGGCAGGCTGGTGCTCTCAGTAACCAGAGCAGGCTGGCAGGGGAGAACTGGTCCACACTGGTGGGAGGAGGATGCTGAAGGTGATGGTGGGCCCTTTATTGCCTCTGTGACAGCTTTATTGCCTCTGTATCTCCCTCTGAAGATCAAGTCTGGGCTTGAAAGAGTCCATCCTCTGTGCAGCCACAGCTCCCAGCTCCATGCCAACCTCAGCCTTGCTCTGGTAGATGACACGTGAGATTTGGCTCCTGATGCTCCCTGTTTCCCAGAAAAGTGACCGTTGTCGGGTCCAGAGTGACTCTGGTGCATCACACATTCGTGTGGAGGGCTTGGCACACACATGTCCACATCCCTGGGGGGCTGGGGGGAACAGGGGGTGTGCTGGGGGGCTCTGGAGGGGGTTTGAGGGGCTTTGTCTGCAAACACAGCTCGGGGGCGGCAGGGGAGGCGGTGGAGAGATGCCAGGAGGGGAGGCTGTGCAGGGAATCTGCTCCTGCCCGCAGGACTCGGGAGGTGCCGGAGAGAGGGATGGCTGGGGAGGGCCAGGAGCGCTGGGAGCGGATCGGGGGCTGTGTCAGCGCTGGGGGAGCGAGAGCAGCGTGACTTCAGCCCGGCCCCGGCTGGGATGGAGCTGCCTCTGCTCGGCGGTCCCGCAATGCTGCGTGACTGCCACAGCCCCGACATCCTCCCCCGGCAGCGCCGGGGCCGTGCGGGGCCAGCGCGGGCTGGGGATGCTCCAGCTCAGCTCCTCTGCGGGCCGGGGGGTCCCTGGGGGGCTCAGGGCTGTGCGTGTCCCCTCGCACTGCTCAAGTTGCTTTTCCACTCGCGATTCTGACCGCTGGATTCCCGGCTGTGCTGCTGGCGCTGAGGAAGCAAAGGTGGCAGCCGCATTCCCGTCCTCGGGCAGGCAGAGCAGGGACCCCGCGGCGCTGGAACAGCACCAGGGTGGCCCAGTTCTGAGAGAAGAGCAGGATGAGGCCTCTGGAAGGATGCTTCAAAAATGGGGAGGGGTTTGGGGGACTCGCTGGTCTGGCGGGGGGGGAGGGGTGGTGTCCTGGGGCTGCTGTCACCTGCAGTGCTGTCACCCTGCTGTCACCTGCAGTGCTGTCACCCTCCCTGCCAGCATGGCCTCTCAGCACCCCAAATTCCTCACAGGCACCCCTTCAGAAGTCAGCCCATCCCTGTGGTCACCGGTGTGCCTTTCAGGGGCGAGCAGAGCCATTCCCAGGTGCTTGCTCCCCCCATGCCTCTTGTTCCCCATCTGTTCAGCTTCCCCCGTCATATCCCTGTTCTCATCGGTCATTATTTCTCTCCAGGTGAAGGCTTTTTAATAACATCTGACATTTCAGCCATTTTCAAGTCATTTCCTTTCTTCTACTCCAATTTTCTTGCTCTTCTTCATAACTAGGAAGCCTCTCTTTGTCCTTGGCCAGAGGGGAGGTATCTGTTGTTGCCTCTTATCACATTCCAGGAAGTTTGATCGGGTTAATGAAAATCCTTCTCCCTTTCTCTCGTGTGTCACTTCCACTCCCATCTCCTTTAGCCTGGTTTCTTAAGGAAATTAAACCAAAGGGTTTGTTTCATCACGGCCTTTTCTCTCCCCCAGCTCTCTCTTGAGTGTGTTGGTCTTTTTGCAGATCTGATGGGGTTGAAATGCTTGAAGTGCTGGGGGGCCTGTGGTGGCTGGTGGAGGGGACAGAGCCAGGCAGTGCCCCACAGGGAACACAGTGCAGGGGTCAGGGGTGCAGTGGGTTGGGGCTCATCACCCAGAGAACAGGGCTGTGGATCCCTCTGGGAACATGAGGGGCACTGGGGCTGTGCCCCCCAGTCCAGTGAGCTGGGATAACAGGCCACATCACCAGGCTATTTTTGCTGCCAATCTGATTTTCTTGAGTCCAGGAGGGGATCCAGAGGAGGAGAGTCTCTCCAGCCCCAGAAATGTGGGGTTAGTCTGGGATTTAGGAGGCCTGGGCTGTGCTTTCAGCTGCAGACTCACGCGTGGCTGTGCTCGAGGGCTTTTCCTGCAGCAGCAGGAGCTGCAGCTGGTTTAAGCTGATCTGTTGGAGTGTGAACTGCAGTGACAGAGCAGCCAGAGGAGATTTTCCACTGCTACAGCAGGGAGAGGCGGTAGAGCTTTTCCAGTGGCTGCTGCAAATCTGATTCCCTGGAAGTGATGGGGGATTGTAGCTCTGCTGGAGCTCTTGGGGGTCCTGGGAGAAGTACAGTGTGGAGTCAGTGGTTCAAGTGCATCAGTGCAGAAGGACCCCAGAGCTTCTTGATGTGTCCTTGAAGCTCGTTGCTCTTTGCAGCAAGAGCTGGGGCACCTCAGGAGTGTGTCCCCTCCTGACTCAGCCTGGCCTGGGGACAGGGATTGTGCCTGGGGGGAAGGCTTTGCTGAATTCTTGCAGCGTGGAGATGCTCTGCCCGGGTCTGGCAGTGAGGAATCAACCAGTCTAGCCAGGGCCTTGGCCTTTGTGCAGGTGAGTTACTGCTCTTGGCCCCAGGTCATGTTGTAGAGCTGCACTCTGAGGTTTCCCCCTCACTGGGCCGTGTCCTTCACTTTGCATTTACCTCTGGTGTTTACTTTAGGCAGCCTGTTTTGCTGTTCTTATCCAGCCTCCATCCCCCAGGCCTGGAGCTTTGCTGAACCTCATTGTGGCCCCTGCCCAGTCCCACTGCTGGGAAAGGAGATTGGACTTGCCACACCTTGTTCCCTGCCTCTCCCACCTCCCCTGGGGTCCTCCCCAGCGTGGGGGCCTTGCTGGGTGACACCAGCCCTGCAGAGAGCACAAGGACATGCCTGGTCCAGCAATGAGCTCACCAGGTCCCCATGCGCTCCCTTATCCTGGGGGATCCCCAAACGTGGGATCCCCTTAGAGGGGATGCACAGAGGTGGCTCCATGTCCCAGCTCATCCTGCATCCCTGTCACCTTGCTTGGCCTCTCCACCTCCTCGTGTCCCTCTGGGTGCACAGGCACGAGGGGAAGACAAGGCCAGCCTTGATGCCACCATGGCCGTGCATGATGCTGATGTTTGGGGTGTGCTCTGGGGTGAGGTGTCTCAGCCAGCTGTGGGTCACAGCTAAATGGAGGAGAAGGGCTTGGCAGGGGCCCCTGCTCGTGTGGGGGCTTGAGGGGTTCCTCTTTCCAGGAAGGGTTTGGGTTTTCCCCCAACCTCTTCTGTGATGGTGGTGAGTTGGACTCTGTAACTGAGGTTACAGAGATCCCAGCTGAATAATCCACTGAGGAAGCTGCTAATTTGAAGACATGTCTGTAATAATTAAATCATTATCTGGAGGGAAGAGAGAGCAGATACCAAAATGGGGCTAATTAAAATCCAAACCCAGGATGACTTGGGCTCTGGGCCAGAGCACAGCATAGTCTGTTGGGGATGTCTTCATGTGTAATTGCTTTTCAGAACATCAGTCCCACCAGAAAACCCATCTGTTCCCCCTCCTGAGACCAGGACTGACCCAGAAACCCTTGTCCTGTCCCATGTTCCCCAGACCAGACACAGCTGGAAGATGGCAAAGGGCAGAGGAGATGGTGAATACCTGATTTGGTAGGGTGTTTGGTCCTTGGCCCTCAGGAACTAGATTCCACCAAATCTCTGGAAGATTTGGTTAGTCCTTGTCTTCTTTCAGCCTTCAATCTTGGCTGATGTTCTTGGGAAATCCCTTGACAGCGAGGAGCAGGGTGGGCTCGTACCCACGACTGCTCCGTGCATGGAAGGATTGGGACATACAGAGGTGCCACAGGGATGCAGTGCCTGGGAGGAGGGTGGCTTTTGGTGTAGGGAGAGATGAACCTTGTTCAGGTTCACTTCACATCTGGAGTGGGAGCGTCTTGTGCTGGATGTGAGCCCAGCCCTGGAGTTACCCCGAGCATGACAGGGAGGTGGAGGTGGCTTTGCTGAGCTGAAAGGTGGTGACCAGCAGCTGTGGTTGTGATGCTGGAGGGGTGAAAGTGTCTTTGGACAGCCCTTCATGCTGTGCCATGTCAATGGAAGATATACAGGGTGGGTGTTAACTGCTGGGAATGCTTTGCTCATCAAATGATTTGGCTCATCAAGCCCAGAGTCTTCAGCAGGACCAAACCCTTTGCAAAGGGCAAGGCACAAAAATGCCCCCTCCAGTTCCAGCACGTTGGATCCAGGGTGAATTCAATCCTGAGCACCTACACTGGGTGGATTCTGCATCAGGGCGGTGCTTCTGCTCTGCCTGCATGGGCTGAAGGTCCTGATGTGGGTGGTGAGAGGTGAATCCCAGCAGCAATCCCTGCTCAGACGAGCTGGCCTGGAATCGCTGTATTTGGGCAGGGAAGGGCTGGTATCTTTCCAAACCAGGCCCCTTCCAAAGCTGGTGAAGATCAATTGGTGCATTTACCCAAGGAGACAAGGGCAGGGAGCTCTGTCTATCAGGTGTTCACATCCTGAGCATCACTCAGCCAGTGCCCCCGGATTGGCACGACAGGTGAAGGTCAGCTCAGGTGGGTTGGTGCCTGCAGGCAGCATCTGAACTTGGGGAGGCAGGAGGAGAGGGCACAGCATGGGGGGCTGGGCAGGGAGCCACTTCTGCTTGGGTGAGCATCCCACCAAGCCCTGACACATGCTGGTTGTTCTCGCTGTGCTGCCCTGCAGGGGCTGCAGCAGCTCAGCCTGGCACTGCCCACGTGCTCTGGGATGAGCTGATCCATCCCCAGCCAGTGCTGGGTCCTGCTTGGGTCAACACTTGTGGGACAGTGGGGTGCCCAGGGTCCAAAACTGAGCTGTGAAGAAGCCAGAAATTTGAATCTGCCTACAGAAATGGTCACTGAACCCTCTGGGAAGTGTTGGCTCAGCTGCTGTGCTGGGCTGTGTGTGCAGAGGGACTCCCCTGCCTGTGTCCTTTCGCCTCATGAGCTTTAATGTGCTCTTGGCTTTTAACAGTGCACAACATCCACCTCAGGCAGGAGATGTTTTCCAGTGCATTGGGTCATCCCCTTCCCTCCATCCCCCCTCCAGGGATTTTAAGGTGTCCTGGCTGCCTTTGAGTGCCCACTGCTCAAAACAGTGGGACCAGGATGGAAACCACCACGCCTGTGTCCCTTTGTGCTGTATTTACCCACATTAAATCTATTTACCTGCTTTTAATTCCTTTAAAAGCCTGCTGAGCTGCAAACATGTGTCCCTCCTCTCCTGGTGATGTCTCACATGCATCAGCCAGATCCAGCTCTCACCTCCTCCCAGGGTGGTTTGGGGGATTGTCCCAGTGCTCAGCCATGGGGCCATTTGCTGCAGCTCAGGGTGCCCAGAGCAGCTGTGGCTGCTCCACCCCTGGAAGTGTCCAAGGGAAGGTTGGACGGGGCTTGGAGCAACCTGGGCTAGTGGAAGGTGTCCCTGCCCGTGGCAGGGGTGGCACTGGATGGGCTTTAAGGTCCCTTCCAAACCAAACCATTTTGGGATTCTGTGAACTCACTGTGGGCAGGAGCTCCCGAAAGTTCTCTGTGTGACCAGGGACAGCCCCCAGGGAATGGCTGGAGCTGTGTCAGGGCAGGCTCAGGGTGGATCTCAGCAAAAGGTTCTTCCCCCAGAGGGTGGTTGGGCACTGAACAGGCTCCCCAGGGCAGTGGGCACAGCCCCAAGGCTGCCAGAGCTCCAGGAGGGTTTGGATGATCCTCTGGGGCACAGGGTGGGACTCTTGGGGCTGGGCTGTGCAGGGCTGAGGGTTGGACTGGATGATCCCTGTGGCTCCCTTCCTACTCAGCATGTCCTGGGATTTTCTGTGATTCTGTGGAAGTGCTGGGGGTGGCCAGGGCTGTGTGTCAGGGAGCTTTGTGCTGAAGGGCATAACAGGGGTGGATGTGTTTTGGACACCCTTTGGGGGTGGTGGGTTCAAACATGGCACGGCTGGGCTCCTTTTTGGGTGAGCTGGGCATGGCCATGGCACCTGGTGGGAAGCAGGGTGGGGACGAGGGTAGGAGCTCCCAGGGCTCTGGGTGCCAGGCAGGGGCTGTGCCCAGGGTGATGACCAGCTCCCTGCAGTGCTGGGCTCCATGAGCTGACATTTGAAGAGGGAATGAGCTGGAAATTGAGCTGAACTAATGCCCAGCCCTGGTTTTGTGCTGGTCCATGCTCAGAGGAGAGCTCTGCTGACACAGAGCAGAGCTGCCAGCCCTCTGCAAACCACCAACCCCACGCTTGCTGGAGCAATTCTGTGTTAGTTCTCTTGGTTTGAAGCTCTCAGTGTTTTTTCAAGTCCCCCAAGCCAAGGGAGCAGTGCTGGGGCATTTCCCATTCCCTCTGCCCATCTCTCTCACCCACTGTGGTGCTGAGCATTCCTCGACAGGTGCTGGTGCAGAGGAGCAGGGAGGGCAGTGCTGGGCATGCACAGCTGGGGCTGTGGCTGCAGGATGGGTGCCAGGATCACCAACCAGGCATGCTGAGAGCTCCAGCTGGGATGGGAACCTCGTCCCTGGTGGCTCAGTCACAGTGGGGGAGGAGCTGGCTGGTGTCCATGGCTGCTCTGCCCTCCAGACCACCCAGTCCTGCTCCACCTTGGTGACCTTTCTGCCCCCTGAGCCATGGGGGTCATTACCTGGGGTAGAGGGCTGCCAGGTAGTGCAAAGAGAGGGGAAGGAGGGGCTGGTGGGGCTGGGTGAAGCCCTCAGAGCTCCCTGCTGGGTCTAACCCAGCTTTTTTATTCACAAAAAACTTGATTTATCCTTCCCGAGCTTCTCCAGTTCTTGGGATCTCTGGAGGGAACTGGACTTACATCCCTTTATATCTTCCTTGTGAGCTCCATCTAAGAGGAGGGAGCTCCAGATGGAGCTCTTTCCATGGCAGGCTATTTTTGAGGTGCTTTCTGTGGTTCCTCTGGTGCCTGGTAAGGCCTGAGCTCATTCCACCATTCTCCTAAAGAGGAACAACTCAGATCTTTCCTTGTCAGCTCAGCTCTCAAAGCACAGCATCTCCAGGACTGAAGGCTGGCACCACCTTCTCTGTGCCAGTGTTTGGGGCTGTGCAGGGGCAGAGCCTCCACCAAGAAGGGCTTTTGGCAAGAAGCAAGGCTTAAAATGCCAGGCAGCTGTAGGATGAGCCCTTCCTGCAGCTCCCCCTGGGGCTGCTCGGGCACTGAGGGACTGCGGGCAAGGTGTGCCCAGGGCAGGGTGTGCCCGAGGACGGGGTGTGCCCGGGGTCTGTCCCGGGGCAGGGTGTGCCCAGGGCGGGGTGTGCCCGGGCTCTGTCCCAGGCTGGTTTTGCACGTGAAAGGTGTGTGTTGAAGCCTTGAACTCGCTCGCTGTGGGTCACACAGAACAGAGCTGCAGTGTCCCTGCCTTGCCCCAGCCACCCTATAACGTCACTGTCCTCAGCTGTCCCTGCCGCCCTGTCCCTGTCACTTGTCATGGATGGCAGGGATGAGACGCAGGAGCTGACACTGGCACTGCCTCCGTGGGAACGGCAGCAGGGTAATTCCAGCCTGGACTGGGAGTGTCCCCATCTCCTCCTGCTCCTGAGACCAGTCCTGCTCTCTGTGCTCCTCTGCTGGGTTCATCCACCCCATCCCACCCCTTCCAGTCCATGACCCCGACTTGGAGGGAGGCTGTGGTTATCCCTGGCATGAGGATGCCTGGAAGGAAGAGCAGGTTTTGACGAGGCAGGGAATTAATCCCGTGATCCTTGTCCTACTTGGAGCTGAGTGGCCAAGGCTCGGAGCCCCTGTCCCCCCACATGTCCCAGTGGAGCTGCTTGGGGGGTGTCACGGGGGCTTTCCCTGTGGATGTTGCAGGGCTGTGCTGGGTCTGGGTCTGGCCTGGTTGTCCTGGGAGCAGAGAATCTCCCTGGGATCCCACTCCCCACCACAGCACATCTGCAGATGAGTGAAGGCTCTTCAGGAATCAGCTGCATCATCAGCAAAGGAATCAAGGAATTTTCTGAAGTTTGTTAGTGCAGGGAAGGGAGAGCAGAAGGGATGAACACAAGGGGGAAATCCCCCTCTCTTGAGTTACCAAAACTGTCTAAGATACCTCTGGTTGGGGTCACCCAATGCCCAAGCCATGATGTCACCACTCTTCTTGAACTGGAAGGACTAAAACCTGTGTTTTGGGAGAGTGGAGGAAAGGGATGTCCCGGTGGATCCGAGGAGCCCTGCATGGGGAGCAGGTGGGATGGGGACCATAAAGGAGGTTGGGACACAGATCTCAGTGCTGTAGTGGTTGGTGGTGACTTGATGAGCTCTGGAGGCCTCCTCTTGGTGGTGGTTTTGCTCCAGGACCGTTGCTGTGCCCTTTCAAGTTGTGTTGGCTGTGAAACCCCCCTGAGTGTGATCCTGAGCCTGCCATGGTCCAACCTGGAGCCAGCAGCACAGAAGCTCTGAATACCCTCTGACACTTCCCAAATTTCACACTGAAAGCCCAGTCTGCCTCTTCTCTGACTCCAAATCACCTCTCTGGGCTTTTCTTCATCACCACTCATAATCTGGAGTCTGGTGAAGGATGGTTGGCCAGGGCTGAGAGCAGACTGGTCTGGTGGGAGGTGTCCCTGCCCATGGCAGGGGATGGAATGGGATGAGCTTTAAGGTCCCTTCCAACCCAAACCATTCTGGTGACAAAATGTTGACAACCGGCCAGAGAGGGGCAGGGAGCAGGATTTCACTCTGGCCCCAGGGGGAGCTCACTGAGCCACTTTCCCTTTCCACCCTTCATGGGGTTGGTGGCCAGATTTTATCCTGGGGAAGGGGTAGATGTGCAGCAGCTGTGTGGGAGTGATTATTGCTGCTCACTGTGATAGGCTCACTGCATGGAGGGCTGTGCTTGGGCTGTGGAAGAGTTGCCAGTGGGGTGGGTGATGTGGCAGAAACTCTGGATCTGGGGCAGCCAAGGCATGGAAGCTGCTCGGGGTGAGGTGCACAGGGTGTTTGCACTGGGTAGCTTTACAATCAGCAGCCTCCCATGTCCCCTGGGCTGGGAACAAGCTGTGTGTGGGTACCAGGGTTTGGAAGGGGGGGTGGTTAAGAGGCACCTCTACACCATTTCCCAGGGCTTGGGGGCACCCATGGCACAGATTTTCCCTCCCCCTTCGAGCTGGTGACTCTTCCCCCATCACTGAATAAATTAGCACCAGCAAGTGCTCCCAGTGTGTGACTAAAGCAGGGCAGGGGCTGCTTTGGCAGCGAGGAGGAGGCCCCGGCTCAGGGCCTGACAGGCTCCCAGATGAGATAACTCCTCATCACAGATGAGATAACTCCTCATCACAAGTGTCACGGGGGTTGGGGGGGGGATGATGGGGGGATGTGCCCGTGGCAAAACCTCAAGTGAAATCATGGAAAATCCCCAGCCACCCCTCGGAGTCTTGGCAGTGACTGAAGTTGTGCCCTGCTTGTGAAGAAACTGAGGCACAAAGCCTCCCTGTCCCAGAGGGGAGGGGGGTTTGCAGCGGTGCCACGTCTGTGACCAGCACAGCATTTTCTCCCTGTGGTTGGAGCCTGTGCCTTGTTCCCTCTCAGAAGGGTCTGCCTCCACCCTCGGCTGGAAAACAGCCCCTTTCCTGGGTTTCCAGAGCTCACCTTCCTTAGCAGATTCATCCAGGGGCTGGTTCACCTCTGTGCACTGCTCCTGGAAGAGAAGATTGGGACGGCCTTTCCCTCTGCTGCTTGTTCAAAATAACCTCGAAAGAAGCAGAATTTGGAGACTCTCAGTGTGAGGAAGAACTGCTTTCCATGGAGGGAAAGCAGAGCCCTGGAACAACTGCCCAGGGAGGGCGTGGAGTCTCCCTCTCTGGAGATGAGTTCCTGTGTCACCTGCTCCAGGTGACCCTGCCTGAGCAGGGGGTTTGGACTGAGGGATCTCCAGAGGTCTCTTCCAAGGCCAACCACCCTGCAATTCTGGGATTCTGTGGCTTTGGCCTAACAGAGCAAAGAATGTGGGGTTTGGTTGCAAAGTTCTGGGGAAAAAAGGCTGACTGAGCCCCATGCACAGGCAGGGCCGGGGAGCAGAGCAGCTCTTGGCAGAGGAGATGGTTGTAATCAGCTCTTTTGTGTTGGGTTGGTGGCCCTTAATCCCCCTCCTTGTCCCCGTGGGTGGGTCTGGGTGCAGAGCACATCCTGGCAGAGGGGTGTGAGCTCAGTGTGTGCATCAGGTGCATCCATGTCCTCCCTGCAGGGAGTCTGGCTCCCGGCACCCAGGGCTTTCCCACCCTCTCCCGTGGAATGAGTCAGGATTCCTCCAGCACTGCCACAGTCCCATCCTTGCAGTGGTGCTGCCGGTGGGGCTGTGGTGGATTTGGGGGATTTGGTTTGTGTTTCCAGTGGTTTGGGGGAACCCCTTGTGCTGGCTGGGGCAGGTGTCCCACAGGGTGAAATCCAGCTCGTGATGGTGGCAGTGTTCCATGTTCCCATGGCCATATTCCATACTCCTGTGCTCCCACGTGAGCTCCAGGATCCTCACGGGTTTAGCAGCACCTTCAGACCCCTCCTCCCTCCTCTCAGCCATGTTTTTGGCCATTGCAACCCTGGAGCTGAAGCCTGAAGGTGAGCCTGGGCTCGCTGAATCTCTTGGCCAGGCTTTGGGATCCCACTTGTCA